TAAAATGAACCAGCAAGAAGAAACTCTTCTAGAGCCTGTTTGAATTTAGTAATATGATTTAATAGATTCCTGATGCCTTGTGGTAGATTATTGAATATCCTAATTCATGAATAATATATACCCTTCTGCACTTTGGCTAATTTATTGCTTGGAAAATGTAAGTCAAAACCTCGTCTCACCTACAACATTCCATAAAATATATGACCGCTTGCATTATGAAAATTAACACAATCTTGCAACAAATTATTTGGTTTCTGTGAACCTGTTCATCCAAGGATTAAGATAAAAACATTCCATCCTGTGCAAACAAGCACAAAACACTCACCATGGTTTCTCTCAGTGAAGGAAATATTTCTTCAATTCTCTGTAGCAAAACTCTTGGCACTCTTGTTGCAAGAGAATGTAGAATTCTTTGCAACCTTTGAACTCGTTCCTCACACATGATTCTCCCTGGGCTGTGAAAGAAGTAGGTTACAGAAATCCTACTGATATGGATTTTGAGTTCTGATAAATGTATCAAAATTCTAACTTTGAATAATTTCCCAGGTCCTGAAAGAGAACATGTTGATCATCATTAGTTTATGCACCTGTATCTTATGGCAACAAAACTGTATGGGATACTGGGTTCTGTGAGCAGACATAATGAAACTTGCCACCTTATTGGGCACTATATTGTCTGTTAATTTGTTACCAATGTTGCAAGCTCCTTGGAATCACCCGAACCTATTGCCTTCGAAACATCACAAGAAATCCACCAGACTACAAGATGCTACATCTAGTAATTCACTAATCTATTGGCTGTGCCATACCTCAAGCAGATAGTTCCTGGCTACCCACCGCAGCGGCCCGGGTTCGATGCCGGGTCTGGTCAAGTGGGATTTGTGATGGACAAAGCGGCGCTGGGGCAGATTTTATCAGGGTACTTCGGTTTCCCCTGCCAGTCTTCATTCCACCAATTTCTCCACAGTCACCCTCACCTATCATCTGGGGCAGGTACAATAGGCCAGAAGTGGCCGCAGTAAAAGAGACTTAGTCCAACCCCACTAGCAATAAAAGAAAAAGTCACTAACCTATATATTTACATTCACACACCGTGCCATCGGTATCCTTTTCAGTACACCCCAACTACAATTAAGTCACCACAGACCATCGCTTTTCAATACCTTTTTAATGAGTTGGATTTGCATGTAAAATATGGAATGACGAACTACTGCACACGCATTAAATCAGAAAGTTCGAGCTCAGAAAAAACACTAATTAATTTACAAGCACAAAGAGAACGTTCGGTAACTATAATTCGTAAAAAAAAACAGCAAAGTTTCAATATTACACACGTTTAATGATGTTTTCTTCTAAAAAACTAATATAAAACTCAGAGAAATTCCACGTATTTTGCAATTCTCTTCCCAGGCCTTGTAGTATTTTTCCAAACACTATTCAGATCGATTCAGACTACTTACACAAAACGCTAATCCATCATCACGCCACTTATGCACGTACGTCAAATAGACTATGCCAGGGATGCCAAGCACCACATACTGCCAACTGTATCTTACCATAGTTACCGAACGATACTATTGTATTACGGTACTGCCAATTATAATGTTCCCTCAGGAATAACTGTAATTAACCTGATTATCACGTATTTTTTACCGTATTTTACTGTCTGCACCAATTTCTTATGGCCGAACTGCAAACATACGCAATTAAGAAGAAAGCGGTCTTCTGGGATGTGGCGCCATGTAGAAATTGTGTTAACCGACGTTTCGGAGGAAGGTATCGCCACCATCTTCAGGGTAGAAGACAAAAAGAAATACGCGGGCGAACCATCTTGAGCAGGTGCAACAGACTGAGCCCAGTTGAGTGAACAAGCTGTATACGCGAAGTGGGGAAGAGTCTGGGGAAGTGGCCAGCAGGTAGCAGGCCAGAGCAGGTATAGAGTATGTGTCGGGGGAAGAGAAGGGAATGTTAAATGGAGTGCGACAAGTTCTGGCCTATTGCGCACAGCCCCAGATGATAGGTGAGGGTGATTGTGGAGCAATTGGTAGAATGAAGATTGGCAGGGAAAACCGAAGTACTCGGAGAAAACCTACCTCAGCGCCACTATGTCCACCACAAATCCCACATGACCAGACTCGCGATCGAACCCAGGCCGCCGCAGTTGGAAGCCAGTGACTAACCGCTTGAGCTATGGCGCGGCCCAAGTAAATAAGTTTGTTTGCATATGTATTCAAAACATGCTTTTAGATTTATTATGTTATAAGTGACACAGTATGTGTCAAATGTTGGTAATAGCAGATGAGTTTAAATAGGCCTGCATAACTTCGTGGTCCGTAGAAAAATTTCAGACATTTTACTGGTCATTAGGCTTAAAAAGTTTGACAAACACTGCACTATGCAATCGCCTGTCAAATGGCGGTGAGGTTGTCAGCCTTATCCGGCTGCCGTCCTTTGCCACCAGGGAGATGCCTGGAACCATCAGACAGTCCAATCTACGCGGCCTTACAACCCACAAGCCCGTACTGCTCACCGGAAAATCAACCCACCAATTTCTGAGATCTGAAGTGTGTACAAAATGGTGCCACTGTGTTGAATTAACGAGAGTCATTGTAGAAGATGAGAATTTTATTAAGCAATCATTATTATTATTATTATTATTAGTAGTAGTAGTAGTAGTAGTAGTAGTAGTAGTATTGTTCTATTGGCGTGATGACAGGGGTGGTTAAAACAAAATACTAAATTATTACGTTAGCAGTCTCTCTTTTGCTAATCCCACCGCTGTCACCACTTGTTGTGCCACAACGATTGCGCCACAAATAGTGCTCTTCTATATCTTATCGCTGCCACCAATTGTCCTGCCTACTCTCTGTCGGCTCCTGTCACTCAGGAGCCTCTCCTCTTCCTTCGGTTTATTCTTCCTGTACGGACTGTGTTGCTCTCCGGCTCTGAGCTCACAGTTCCCATGAGACGTAGGGTTACGCAGGAGCGGTAAAGGGAAGGAGCCTAACGGGTTGTACCAATGAAGTCTTCTACATTTCCGTCCTACTCTATTCGTCCAGTATCTACATATTTACACTTATATACAGTAATTAATGCCGACTTCTGTCGGGTCGCACAAGGTTCATATACATTCATACTCCCACCTCTACTGACACATGGTATACTAGCCTGTTCTGTTGCTCATTTAGCTACTGGGTTTGCACTTTAATAATATCACCTTATATTTCATGGCTAATATGAGTAGTTCGACTTATTTGAGACATAGATGCAGACGATCGCCAACCACCACTTGTCGATGCCATGACGGATATAGCTTCCGGCTACACTCCTTGAACATGACTGTTGATTAGCCTCCACTATTTCCCATTTCGATAATTTTGCACTCTGAAATTGATGGCTCATCAACTTCCGGGAGTGTGAAATCCCGCCCCTTTCTGACGCTAACTATAAGGATGGCTAGTGCTCATTGGATAATTACTTTTCACGGCGGCTAATCCCGTTCTGCCAGCCTCTGTCTATGCAGCATTTATATTCCTCCCAGTGTTTTACCTTTACGAGAGCTTGATTCCGCTTTGTCAGCGAGGCTCTGTTGAGCTCTGACATTCTCTTGCCAGGCTCTTTGCCCTTCCGCGTTTCACAAACACGAACCCTTTGTCAGCTTAAAAACTTTTTTGCAATCCAAAAACATAATGTCGATGCCCCCCCATATTACATTTGTAAGTTTGGGGCTAACAATTATTATTTATTTGGACCAAAGACAAATTAATTGGCGGGAAGTTTAGGGAAACTGCAAAGCTTCATAACTTTACTCTTCTCCAAGTACAATTAGAATGATAGAGACAAGGAAGATGAGATGAGCAGGACATGTTGCACTAATAGAGGGAGATGAATGCGTAAAGGATACTGGTGGGAAAGTCATAAGGAAAGAGACCAGTAGGAAGAACTAGACGTATGTGGGTGCATAATATTAAAATGGATCTTAGAGAGATAGAATAGGTTGGTATTGACTGGATCGATCTGTCTCAGAACAGGGAATAGTGGATGGCTCTTGTGAACACGGTAATGAACCTTGGGTTCCAGAAAATGCTGGGAAGTTCTTGAGTAGCTGCACAAGAAGGGCTCAGCTCCGTGAATGAATGAGTGTATTTAATTTACTTATTAAGAGTCTTATCTTCTGTGTCGTAACACTATATAATCTATTGAAAGACATCCGATAATTTTGGAGGATGTATCACCAGGATTTTCAGGATCGAATAGTAAGATTGGAGGCGACATGGTCTTTCCGAAACTTCAGTTGACTTTCAACGCACAAGAAGTTAATATCCCAGACGACAGAACTCATAACCATTGCTGTGAGAAACTGAGATCCTGAATATACGTGATTATAGCTACTGGATAGGAGGCTTGTGAACCCCAGAGCCGGTCTGGCCACTGTGCAGTAGAGAAAAATCTCTTGCCTCTTTCGGGAATAGAACCCAGCTCTCCCAGCCCGTATGTTTGTCGCTATATCTACTGGGCTATCCCGGCTACTGAAGAAGGATATAGCAGTGATAAAATGATTAGACACCGAAGAAATAAGAAATGGCATATATTTGACAAGGTTAATGACATTTATCAAAGGCTGCGCGAAAGAGAAACTGCCGGCCACGTAATGAAGGGAAAATACAGCTAGAAGAGTGCAAGTAGTGTGGAAGAGACGCAGTACAGGCGGAAAAAGAAAACCGCCCATCTGAATACAAACACGCCGTCACTGGTTTCCCAGTTTCCATCCATTACATACCAACGGCACGAATAAATATTATATATTCAGTAGCAACAACTGCAAATCGCAAGCACTCCACGACTGCCTCGGCACGGTTACTCTTTTCACATAGTAGCGTTTGGTACCGCCAGGGGATGTGCAATAGCACGACTTCAAGGGCAGGGGCGGCATGCTAACCAGCCAACTCGCTAAGTTACTATAGTAAATGAAACTGTTGATCCGAGTTCATCTCAGCAAGACAACACTTGCGCGGGCACTCAGGAAACTTCAAGCATTTTAAATAACACCAATTTTCATTTATCTGATTACACGTGCCTTCAATTTGTCCTGAGACAAGTGAATCCTGTCAACACCCTCCAGCATATTCCATTAAAATCCTTTTTAATATTATTCTCCTATTTACAAATAGTTCTTCTGGTGGCGTATTTTCTTTCTGTGGGACACTCGGTAGCGAAGTTGGTTGAGATACTATGCTACAAGCCAGAAGGTCACGGGTTCGTATTCTCGAGTAGTTAGTTGGGCCTTTCAATTGACCTAATCATTCCAGACACACTACGGCGCTGGGGTTGACTCAGCCTCCAACAGAAATGAGTGCTAGGAATCTTCCTGGTGGTAAAGGGCGGACGGCGCGTAAGGCTGACAACTCACCGCCATCTGTGAGCCGAATTTCTAGAAAATGTGGCAGCCACGACGTCTCACAACCATATGGGCCTGCACGGACTGTTACAGGGATAGCTTTATTTTCTTTATGTGTTACTACCGAAAACCTGTACGTACACCTATCTCATATGTGCTGCATGTCCACCCCACCGTATCAACCCTGTCACGATAATTCCATGAAGTTTGGTGAGAGGTAGAAGCTATGGAGCACCTCATTATGCAGTTTCCTCCAGCCTCCTACTCTTCACCCCTCTAGTGTCCAAATACTCAAATCAGCACCCTAATCTCCAGTCTACATATTTCAATAATGTAAAGAGACATATGTACAAACATATTGGCAAATTGCAGAGATTATTTCATTCTATCAGTAGCATTTTGTACAAAAGGCGGAAGACAAAAAAGACATATGAGATCAATTACTGATCAGATTGTTTACATTCGTCAGACACTGGACAGAAAAAAGGAGTGCAATGAGACAGTACACCAGCTATTCACAATTTCATTAAAAACTATTATTCATTTAGGAGGGAAGTATTGTACAATATTCTGACTGAGTTTGGAGTACCAATAAAACTAGTTTGGCTGGTTAAAATGTGTTTAAACGAAACGTATAGTAAAGTCCGTGTAGGTAATTATTTGCCTGACAAATTTCCCATCCTGAATGATCTAAAACAAGGCGAATCTTTATCGCCACTGCTTTTCAGCTTTGCATTAGAATATTCCATTAGGAATATCCAGGAATACCAGGTGGGACTCGAATTAAACAGGCCACATCAGTTGTTGTCTATGCTGATCTAAATCTATAGATATTATATAGAAAAGCACAGTTTCTGTAATATTTGTAAGGAGGTTGATCTAGAAGCAAACACAGAGAATTGATTTATTCCCTCGCAGAAAGTTTTCCAGTGCTCTTGTTTGATGTCTCTGTCTATTTTTTTTTGTGATAATTGCTGCNTTTTGACTTCCATGATTTTTTCTTTAACTCCTTCTGTGAAGACAGTCCAATCAGTGTGTTTACTGTGCAATCTAGAAACCTTTTTGCTGCCTTTCCCTGGCTCTGTTTTGCCATTATACTTGATGAGAACTGGATAATATTCGC